CACAAATACAACGTCTGACTGAAACGATGTCTGCATCTCTCAAAAAGAAACATGGCTACTCAAAATCATGTGGCCACAATATAATTAATAGATATGAAATAAATATCTCATGGCCACACATTTTTTATCCAATGTCACTGAACCAGCTCTGTATAAATCTGTAAAATAAATTACAAAATGGAAGCCAAGGAAGTCCCCCTGTTTTGATTGGTTGTTCCCAAAGCCTGAGCAGGCACCCAAACACTAGCCTGCCTTAATGCTCACTTCCCCTACGATAAAATGTTTTTGAGTGGCTGGTCCTCAGACACAATGAAGCCACCTTTTAACCTTCTCTGGAGCCTCTGCAGCTGGCCACTTGTGGAAGTAATAGGAAACGAAGATGAAGCAACTTGTAGAGCAGAGGTGGTGGTTAGTGTCGAGAACACGAAAAAGTTCAACGTGCTTTTTCAGGAAAACAAACACCCGTAGCGCACGTCACCCTCGTGAACTGTGCTTGGGAAGACTAATAAGAATGKCTAAAAGAACCATTAAGGTTGCATTCCCCTCCTTGGAGACCATTTTCAAGGAGAAATGCAAGAACCTCAGTATTGTGAAAGGTCTCTCCCGCCCTGCCCATATGTTGTTCAACCTCTTACCATTTAGGATCACTCCATTAAATATAAAACACCCAAAATGCACAACAGTTTTATTCCACAGGCAATGAGGACACTTAATGCCCAGCAGCACTATGTGACAATGATTTGAAGTTTTAATGTGATTTACTTTATATTTTATATGCTCAATCTGTGATTTTATTGATTTTAGCTGTTAATTTCAGAGCAATGCTGTTGAATTGTATTGTTGGACATTTTTTACTGCCTTCACTGTGGAAACAAGTAATTTTTATGCTAATCTGGAATGACAATAAAGATACCATAAACCTTGAACCTTTGCTCTAATCTGAAGCTCTAGAATGTGGTTTCATTGGATGCTGAATTGGTTTACACACTTACGTCAGCGCAGAACAAAGTATAAACATAATTGTTTCCMAGAAAATAATAAATTCTCAAATATTTTAATGTTTCCACGAAAACGTAAGTTTGCAACATGCTTTTACATATTTACATGTTTCTTGTTAAAGAAATGGAGGCCAACCCTACCCAAATTTCCCAAAGGCGCAACTTTGTGCGCAGCCCTAAATGCAATGATGCATTAATGGTTTACCAGGAATGCTTTCAAGGAATTTCAATAAACTCAATAAAGTATCAATAAAAGTCCTATACAATGGTTACAAGGTAGCTACTCATCTTTTGTATGTCTTGAAAACTTCCTGTGATTGTTGAGTGTCACATGGGCATTGCAGAATTTCTGTTTCATAAAAATGTTTATTGGAGTCATCAACACTTTCTTTTACATAAAAAGATGAACTGAAGAACCAATAAAGTTACTTTTTCTTTACTGTTATTTTTGTGAAGCACATTTACAGTCACGTTGTACACTGTAAAAACAAAAAACCTAAGCAATATAGGCTACTTTATTTTATCACCAAGCCTGCAATCAAGTGACACTGCTACTTACAGTATATTTTATGTTTTGTGCAATCAAACGATTTCCACATACAATGTGCTATTTTATTGATTTGTATTGTAAAAGGTTTAGATAAATTGGAAATATGTCATGACAAATGGAGTTTAAATGAAAATTCAACTCTGGAAGACTGATGGCCTCACCTGCTCCTGCTGACACTCCACGTCTCAAGCTCAGCTGCATCCAATCATCGCAATCCCAGCCACATCCAATCAGCTCCTGTTTGCCAGTGCATAAAAACCAGTCAGCTCGGTCGCCCCGTCTGCATGCCAGCTGACCGTCAACCTGCCACCACCCCTCATCTTCTGAAGAGGGTGCACCTGATCCAGTTCTTCATGTCTCTTTCCAGTCCTCCAGCCCAGCTGGTTGAGGCAGAAGGCCGCCTGTCCGGAGCCTGGTTCTGTCGGAGGTTTCTTCCTGTTATCAGGGAGTTTTTCCTCTCCACCGTCGCTCAGGATGAGAGTCTGTGATAGTGGTTCAACACTGCTGGCTTCCTCTTTATAAAATTCTCTTTATTTTTCTTTTTCATGACCTCCACCACCAGTGTCAGGTCCCGGGGGGATCAAATCTCCCACTCCTAACTCAAAGCATCTCGTATGAGATTACAGCTTCACTCAGCGCTCTCGTCCTCTGCCGGGGTCCGAGCGCCAAACTCTAATGCTGTTTATGTCATAACGTTGTTGGTCCAGTCATGTCAATAAACCTCCTAATTTCAACCTGCCTCATGTGAGTCTTTCCAGGTTTAACTGTTTATTATTATTATTATTGGTTACATATACTTTTAAAAAATATTGAACTTTATTTTAAAGAAATTTCCAGAGAAACAAACTGAGCTCTTCAAATCTTTTTTAAAACATTGTTCTCTTTAAAATCTGTTTCAACACACTTGTTTGCTTTTACTTACTATTCAGCTTCTTTAATGTTCTAGCTACAATTTTTCTAATTTTAGCTCGTTTTCATTTTAGTTTAAATATCTATTTTGTTAGTTGTAGCTACTGTTTTGGTCATTTTATCTTTGGGTTTTTTTTTTTTCGTTATTGCTTTTAGCTTATGTTCTGCTTGTGCTGCGTTTTAACTTGTATAGCAAATTACCTCAGTCGTTTAGCATTCACAATGCCATTCTTTCTAATTGTGTAACACGTGTGTGTGTGTGTGTGTGTGTGTGTTAGGTCTATATCCAGTCTGGATTTTGATGGAAAATGTTTGACAGAAAAAGGAAAGATTACCATTCTTTTATGGTCAAGTAAAAGAGCTTTAAATGTAATAATCTGTAAAACTGTAGCTTTAATGAATCTGATCTGAAGTTGATGACTGATCACTGTTATACAAGAATCTACGAATGAATGATTTTATTTCACAAAAACAAAAAAACTTTAACCCTATATGAGCAAATAGGTACAGGCAGAAGCCAATGGCTTGTTACGCCTCACCTTACAATTCATAATGGATTCCCCAAAACAAAATACACAAAAAAAAAAAAAAAACACGTACACAAAACACAAATCATTAACACCATTTTTATCAACAATATCATTATTGTCTGTACATGCAAAAAATATGTTTTTATATTACCACCACTGTCATCACAACTGATTACAAACCATAACTCAATTAATTTACTTTTTAAACTTCAAGAGAGTCACTAATCTTAATTTCATCACTTAAATTATTCCACAATTTAACACCCAATGAAACACATCTGTATTTGATATTTGTTCTACTTTATGTACTTCAAAAATAAAGAACCCCCTTAAATTATAATTATTTTCCCCCGTAACTTAAAAAAATCTTTGAATACCATCAGGAAGACTATTTATTCTTACTTGATATAGTATCTACAGTGTTCTTAAATACACTATATCACTAAATTTCAAAGCAGAGGACTTTAAGAATAGTGGATTTGCGGAATCAAAAAACCCAGCATCTAATTACTCTTTTTTGAAGTTTAACTATTGGATCTATATTGGTTTTATAAACATTACCCCAACCCTGTACACAATAGGACACATATGGCACTACAAGTGAAAAATAAAGTGTACGTAGACAACTTCTATTTAACAATTCTTTGGTTTTAAAAATAATTGCAGCTGATTTTGATATTTTTTTGTCTGATATACTCTAAATGTGACTTTCAAGATAGTTCTAGGTTCAAAATGGGAAAAAAAAAGTTTTAAAAAGGCCTTTTTAATAATGTTTTGTGTATTTAACACTGTTACTGCCTTTTTAATAATAATGTTTTGTGTATTTAATGCTGCTACTGTAAATCTTGAAAGAAAGACAAACTCTGTCTTGCTTAAACCTAAAGTCAACAGCAGGAACTGCAGTCTGACTTGGCAGTTTGAATCAGAAATGAAATCAGCAGCACAGAAAAAGTCACGTTAGCCCTCTAACTTCCTTCCCCTCGGGAGAAAAAAAGTCTGCTTTATAATTAAAAAATGGATTTTTCTTGTTGACTTTTATTCGTATTAAAATGTATTGATAAACGACACAATGAACCTTAAAAAATTGAGTAAAGACAGTATATAGCTGACTGAGCAGTTCATTGTATTGCATGCACAGTAATTATCTCCATAACTTCAGATATTGGTTTTACATCATAGTTTATTGTGTATTTGACCTTTCTCTTGCAGAAATACTCATTCTATATAAATCAACCTGAACTATTTTTCTCACTCTTTTAGACTGTAAGAGGTGGATAAGTCCATCTGACAAGGCAGGACTCCAGAAAATACTGTAAATAAAAAAATAACAATCAATAAACTGAGGAATAAAATTGTTTGTTTTATTACAGCATCATCATAATGCTGTAAAAAAATGTTGCTCCAACAGGGTTCTACAGTTTAAGGAAAGTTAAATTTAAGACTTTTTAAGACTTTTTAATGCCAAGTGTAATCAAATTCAAGACCAATTTCACAATTAACACAAATGAAATAATAATAATAATAATAAAACTGTGGCAGAAATTCATGAATCAAAGTATTTTCGGTTGAATTATTTAAATATTGCTAAGAGACCAATTGTTTTAATCCGTATCTAACTGCTATTTTGTCAAATATACCTAAAAAAAACTTCTTAGTTTCCTCTAATGACCCAAAATTTAGAGTTTTAGGACCCACAGTGGGTTCTCAACCCTAGCTTGCTGTAGATGAAACCTTAAAGTGCATGTCATGTAAAATGTTTGTACAAAATATGAATGCAGTTTTGGAAAGACAACATTACTAACATATTACAAAACAAATTTCACATTGCTCAGATGGACAGTTGTTGACATATTTGCATGTGAAATAACAGGAAGCGGTGTCAAAAGGGAATGTTTGAATGTGAATATTTCAAAAATAAATAAATGTTACCAATTATTTTAATATTTGATACGAATTACAGTCATCCTGCTTACAATGTGTTAACATTTTTAAGCCTTCTGATTTAAGACATTTTAAGGCTAATTAAGGCCTTATTTTTGGATCGATGAATTCAAGGCCTTTTAAGACTTTTTTAAGGATCCGCAGGAACCCTGTGTTCAAAGATGAAATTATTTACCTTGACTCAAAATAGAAAAACAACAAAGTTCTAACATGTTTGACCAAAATTTGATGAAAAGATTTGAATTGGATTTAAATTTTGGATGTCAATATATGAAAAAAAAACAAACACCTAAAGCCCTAACACCAGCATAACATTTTTTTGTAAAATCTAAAGTAGTGTAATGAAAGATTAAAATGTTTATAAAGCCAGACTGATTCTACATAACTTTTAAAAATGAGTCCTGTATCATGCACTCTACCTCTTCCACCAAGAGTCCGTAATCTGCTGGACAAACTGTGTGTCCTGTCCTGCTTCTCTCCTTCACATATCTCACCATCTCTCTGTGCACTCCTGGTCTGGACGCAGTGGTCTCCAGCTCCTCCAGCTGCTTCAGGGGATCCTGGGAACGTTCTTGAATTTTCAAAGCTTTAAACACTGCAGGAGCAAACTTCCCGTAGTGAGCGGTGGAGCAAAGCACCACGGGACACGAGCCATCCTGCAGCCGATCGGCCACGCGCTTTGCCACAGCGGTGTGTGTGTCCATGAGGTAGCCTGTCTGTGTGTGAACACTGTGGATCGTGGCCAAGCAGTCATCCTCGGAGCACCAGCCAGCCTGCACTTCCTGTTGCATCCTGCCAAGGAGACGCTTAGGAAGCTGAAAGTGTTTCTGCGTGTCCAGGCGTGTGAACAAGTCGTTGACAAGTCGGCTGTTTCCGTCTGAGACGTGATAAATAAACCTCTCGAGGTTGGAGGACGTGAGGATATCCATCGCTGGGGAGTAGGAGGACAGGAGAGGCCGTCCACGTAGATCATACTCGCCCGTGGTGATAAAGTCGGCGATGATTCGGTTGTGGTTGGATGCGCAGAGGACTCTTCTTATGGGGATGCCCATTTGCTTGGCGTACAATGCCGACATGGCATTGCCAAAGTTGCCAGTAGGAATACAAACGTCAACGGGCTCGCCGAACTCGATGATGCCGTCACTGCACAGATCGAGATAGGCAGAGGAATGGTAGACAACCTACAGGAGTCGCAAAATAAAAATTATAACTCATTGAGTTCACATTTCAAACTTTTTTATTGAAACCACATTTCATCTTGCTCAATAGTTATATTTTAAAGATTTTACTGACATGTATAGCAGGACAGATAAACTGTAATATATATGTTCTTAGACATATACTTTAGTTATAGAATGGTGCTGAACTGGGACTATAAATGCATGACTAGTTTTTAAAACGTTATTTATTTAGATGCAAAATGTGATTTTTACAAAACTTGAGATGTTTTGAAGTCCACTGCGTCCTTCCAAGMAGAAAATTATGGGATAAATCTTGTGCCAGCAGGAACTGAATTTGAATTGCTCAGATTGAATCTGAATGTGCATAATTAGAAATTGAATGCATTGATTTGAAAATTAATTTCACTAAATTGAAACTGAATTTAATGATTTGAAACTGAATTTTAAGTTTTGTATCTGAATTAATTTGCTTCGAAATTGTATTTTGTTCTATTAAAAATTCAGTTTGACTACTTTCACTTTCAGTTCCATAATTCAGATTTTTGTGTCACATCCTGGTCCTTGAGAAAGCCAGGCAGAGTAATCAAACACAGATCCACAGATTTATGTTTCACTTTGGTGACGTTTCCCTCCTGTAATGTAACAGAGTTGATACAATCCACCATAAAAGTGAAAAAAAATAGACAGTTATTTTATTGCAGTGATTTATTTTACCTATATGTAGAAAATGTTACATCACATCATGGATCACATATTGATCAGATGCTGCTGCTGACTGATCCATGATGGGATGTAAAAGTAACATTTTCTAAAAATAAAAGTAAAATAAATCATTGCAATAAAATAACTGTCTGTTTTTGTCACTTTTACAGTGGATTACATCAACTCTGTTACATTACAGGAGGGAAACTTCACCAAAGTGAAACATAAATCTGTGGATCTGTGTTTGAATACTCTGGTTGGCTTTCTCAAGGACCAGGATGTGACACAAAAATCTGAATTATGGAACTGAAAGTGAAAGAAGTCAAACTGAATTATAATAAATCAACATACAGTTTCAAAGCAAATTAATTCAAATTGAAAACTTTAAATTCTGTTTCAAATCATTAAATTCAGTTTCAATTTAGTGATTTTTTTTCAAACAAATTCATTCAATTTCAAATTATGCACATTCAGATTCAATCTGAGCAATTCAAATTCACTTCCTGCTGGCACAAGATTTTTACCATAAAAAAAGGAACTTTAATGAGTATATTATGAAATGTGTAATTTGACTTTATACATTAAATCAAATAACTATGACATTTTTCAATTCAATTCAGTTTATTTATTTAGCGCCAAGTCACAACATGCGTTGTCTCAGGGATCTGTACATGAAAAAAAGAACAATCTAAAGAAGAAACCAGCAGATTGTGTTGAATCACTTCATCACAGTCTCCCATCCTGAGCAAACGGTGGAGAGGAAAAACTCCCTGCTAATCAGGAAGAAACCTCCAGCAGAACGAGGCTCAGGACAGGCGGCCATCTGCCTCGACTGGCAGTGTTGGGGGACAGGAATTTTTGATTTTATAAAATCAGTTTGTGATTTACAACAGTTTGCTGTCTTTATATATGCCAAGAAATTTAATTTCATACACACTATTTGAACTTAGTTTATCAAACGTTTAGTTAAGTTACTTTAAAAAAAGATTACCAAAAATTATATATTCACTTAGATTTAGAGTCAGTTTATTAGCCTCAAATAAAGTCTCTAACTACTTTGGCTCTTATTCTGTTATATTCAAAAGTCATTCTATGACTTTTATAAAACAAAAAATGTTTGTTTAATTTTAATAACATTTTATTTGCATACTGAAATATCAGTGGTCCCAGTACTTTACCTTGGGGAACCCCAAATCCAATTATTAATTATTGTAATTCTATTTTTAATACATCATTTAGAAATTTTTAAAATGCTACTCACAAAACAAACACAGAAGACTTCTCGTAATAGTTTTGCAAATTATGGTTGTATTTTCCTCATAACAGGGTTTTAGATTACTTGACTTCATATTTAGTTAACATTTTGCTTGTTCCTTTGTACACAAAAAAAAAAACACTTGTGCTTGTGTTGTCGAGACGAACACTGGAAAATTGTAGTAATTCTCATGATATGCCTGCTCACGACGTATAAAAATGAAAATTCTAGCAAGGTTTAAAAAATGTGATTTTCATTAAAGAGTATGCCCACATTTTTTTCTGATTTAGCATTCCTTCCCGTTAGCAGCACGAGCAGGTTTTTATTAACCCACCTGTGGCAACAGCCGTGCCCAGTTGATGGAGTTGAAGGTGCTGAGGACGGTGCCGTACTCGACAGCGAGATGCCCGGTGAGCACCGACTCCCCAAACATCCTTTTTATGGTTTTCTGACAGAAGTCAAAGTCCGACAACACACCGACTGCCCTGACATTGCCTTCCCTGTAGCTTGTTATGAGCAGCTTCTGGATCTCACTCACTCCTTCCTCTGGAAAAAACACCAGCACCCCAGTCCGGTTTCTGTCGGCGCCACTCAGCCGACTGAAGCCACTGAGCACAGCACTGCCGGTGTCCCCTGAAGTGGCAACGAGGACGAGGAAGTTGCACATTAGAGGGAGGCAGTGGGCAAAGAGCTGAGGCGTTAGCTGTAAGGCAAGGTCTTTGAACGAGGCAGTGGGACCGTGAAAAAGTTCCTGGACAAACAGATTGTGGATAAGATGTTTCACCGGTGCAACTTTCTCACTAGAAAAGTTGGAGCTGTATGCTTTAAAGATCATTGTTCTGAGGTCCAAAGCAGAGACATCCGATGGGTGGATGCATTTTTCTAGTAAAACCGACGCTCGCTCTGGATACGACATGGAAACTAGTCTAAGCCACTCACTTTTACCCATTTTTGGAAAGCCATTCTTAGGAACATAGAGGCCTCCGTCTGCAGCAGGACCTTCCACGATCACATCACTGAAGCATGATTTCTGATTGGGAAATTTTGCTCGGTCACATCTAGTGGACAAATACGTTTCCTCGTTGTGTTTCTGGTATCGCTCCACACACAGCAGCACCTTCTCCACCACGTCTTCCACGGTGTCCCCTGCTCCACAAAACACGCGCACGTCGAGCCACTTCTCGTAAAACTGCTTCCTGTAACGCAAAATGTCTTTTATGGGAAACCCTGCTTCATGGCCGACGATCCTGTCCACCTTCATTCTGTTGAGCCTCTCGATGATGTCCTCGATGTCCACGTCCAAATAAACGACGAGTCCCGTCTGCGAGACGTGCCGCATGGCTTCAGCGTGAAGCGGGTTGGACCCGGTCAGAGACACGACACACCCAGAGGCAGAAAAGCTACACAAAGCCTGGCCCTCTTCCTCCAAGAAGCGCTCTTCACCCACTGATGCCAGTTTGGCAGCCACTGGCATCTTCCACGCCGTCTCCAAGACGTCATCGTCAATGTCGATGACGGGCAGTCCCAGCTTCTGAGCCACTATCTTTCCAACTGTTGTCTTTCCTGCTCCAGGGAGGCCCATTAAAAGGAGGTTTTTGTCCCCCAGGTGACAAGTTTTGGTGGAAAGCCATGATTTGGATGTTGAAAGTGGGACTAGGCATCTTCTGACAGCTCTTATTGCAAGCTGGCTTGCAGACAGTAAACCCATTCAGGAACTAAAGAAAAAGAAAAAATAAAGAGAGAATAAATCTACTTAGAAATGGTGCAAATCAAAACGGTAATCCAGATACAAAAAGTTGCATGCATTCAAAAGTACATATAAACATAAAATAAAATAAAAACAATTCAGCACAACTCTGTGTAAAAAGCATTGGTCATTCTTCTTTGTTTCATAGTTTATCTGTAAAAGATCTTGGTTGGTGGTTTTAATTTCCCAGTCTTTTAAAACAGTGGTTCCCAAACGTTTTATCTTCTGACCCACAAAATATTCATGGCAAAAACTTGTGACCCCAAATATTACTGGTCTGAGTATACAAACTTTGTTAATAACCCTAAAAACAAAGGCCACACAGATATAAATACTCATTTATACTTATTTTGTGTTTTTGTAATAATTATAGGGACAATATTACATCACCAATTATTTTATTACCCTTTAAATTGATTTCTGAATTTAAAACACTTTGTTCTTCGGACTGTTATTGCACAACGCTGCAAGAGGTTGCAAAACATTTTACAGTGCACGCTTAATAAGCTAGTACCTAGCCACCATAAAAATCGTAAATTTATAGATTTAATCACTCACGTAAGTAGGTGGTTTCCCGTTCTTTGACTTGGATAATAAACTGAATGGTTCAGTCTATGTGTTGTTTACTTCATTATTACAACAACGCTTTCCACAAGGAAGCCGTCACAGTATTCACTACGGGTAGTCTATAAGGACAAACTTAATCGTTTCGCGAGTCGCGACAAGCAACACAAAACATAAAAACACTATAATTCCTCTAAGTAAAAATTTAAACAAAATCACGCATTGTTGGCCTATGATTTCATGTCGATAAAGGTTTGAAAACGCAATAATTTGCACTTTTTTTTAGCACAAAAAAACCTGAAAGATTCTGTGTTAGTTTCAAGTGCACGTTTACAAGCTCGGAATTTGCAGCTCTCAATGTCCAAGACTCGTTCGTTTGATTTACTTTAAAAGTAGTAGTTCACATAAAGACCGTAATGCAATAAAACTTTCAAAGAGAGCAAAGTGCAAAGACTAAAGTACATTTTAACCCGTTTTTGATCACAAAATAATACTTCTTTGATTATACCGAACTTTTTACCAACATTACAAATGCCACATACTGTGGCGTTTCTGGTTGCCCAGCAACTAGACAACCTTCGCGTGGTGGTACAATTTTTTTGCTCGGCCACTGAAGTGAAGGAGTATTTTTTTTAATCCTTTAATTCATCGTGTCAAGTTATTCAATATGTCTGAACTAGTTAATACGCAAGAAGGYGTCTACGACAATCTTATTCGAGAGGAGGACAGAGTTAAAAAACCACCAAGGTTAGTTTCACTTCACGTAGGCCAGAGTCACGTTAAAAGAAGTATGATATATTGATAAAATGTTTATGTTAACATGACAGTAATCATTTTTAACTGTAAATATTTAACAGAAACTCCCATTTTCTTATAAATAAAAGGATTTTTAAATATTAAGTATTGTCATTAGGAAAGCTATTAGTTACAAC